GAAGGGTGGAAGCTGCGCAGTGTGCGGCGAGCGTGTGTGGGGTCTGGGGGCTCCGGGGGTGGGGCTGGGCGCAGGCACCTGCGGATCCCCAGCTCTGCACACGGAAATCCTGGGATGCAAATGGAGGATGGTCAGGCAGGCTCCCGACACTCCCACTGAGACCCTCCGGAAAAGATCCCTCCCAGAATCACACGAAGCTCTCGCTCTGCAAGGCCTGACTCGACTTGCGAGCCCGCTGGAGGAGCTTGGGCGACCTGACTGTGGAGATGCCAAGACAGGCTGCGATGCTGGGAGGGTGCCCATAGAGAGAAGGGGGCAGCAGACTGGAAAACAGCTGTTACCCAGGAGCCATGCATGAGGTGACAGCAGAGCCAGCCACGAGTCCCTCTGACCAACCAATCAGGACAGAAAAAAACCACCACAAATTTCAGTTGCAAACACACTGCACGTTTGTACCTTAATGACACTCTCTGGCCCAAAAACACAGCCGACAGGGGAGTCTCCTGGGTGTCAGGGCAGGAAAAATTGTGACAGGCTTGAGTGCGTGAGACCCCCAACCCTCCTTGAAGCAGGCCCCTGTCCCAACTTCAGCCCCAAAAGAGTCTGCTCTTGGGAAGGGCCCAGAGAGAACACCCTATCTCAGCTAGATCTGGGACCCCAGGAACACTCTGAGAAGAGGGCAGCCAAGTGCAGCAAACTAAGCAGGGCTAAGCCGGCCTGGAATCCAGACTCCAAGCCCACAGATGTTCGGCCAGTCCGGGGGACAGGTGCAGGGCGCTGCGGAAAGCACAGGGAAGCTCAAGGTGCACCCAGGAGCAAGGACGCCAGAGACCACTGCCTTTGTGTCAGGCCTCCAGCAGGGTCCTGGCCAAGGCTCTGCCTACCCAAGAGGGGGAGGAGCCTCCCTGGACCCAAGGACAGCCTGTCTCTCAGCCAAGGCCCAGCAGTCACAGGCTGAAGTAGTCTGCAGCCAGACGTCCGTAGATGTCAGTGGTCCAGAGAACGTGGGCTCGACCTGAGGCCAACAGCAGCTGGTGCAACTCGGCCTCCACCCGGGCAAATTTCTCCTCATTGATGGAGGCCTCCAGCAGGACAGAGGCAGGCGGTGGCCAGGGCAGGCCCTCGTAGCAGTCCACAGGGAAGGGGTGCACCACTGTGCGCAGCTCGGCCTGCACCGCTGAGTCCCGCAGGAGCTCCTTAAGGCCTGCCATGGACAGCGGGTTGCCGTAGAGGCCGAGGTAGCGGAGGCTGGCGCAGCGAGTCAGCACAGGGAGTGTGGCCAGCAGCTGGGTATCAGCGAGCTGGCACTCGGTCAGCTCCAGGTGCAGCAGTGTGGCTGCTGCTGCCTGCAACAGACCCTGGAAGGGCTCCAGCTGGCTGCCGGACAGGTCATTGCCACTCAGGTCCAGCTTCTTGAGGTGGACAGCATGTGGGCTCCGCGCCAAGAAGCGCAGATCCTCAGGCAGCAGAGCGCAGAAGGCCAGCTCCAGGCTCTCCAGGGGGCTCTGCAGGGTGCTGCAGAGGAGACAAGATGTCAGAACAGGCAGGGCCAGGGGAGGGTCTCTGGGAGTGCAGGGGCAGAGCGGCAGTGGGGCCCGCCTACCTGAGTAGCTGGTCCAGCCGCCCTGAGAGGAGAGACGAGCCCATGCTGAGCTCCCGCAGGCGGGTGAAACGGCCCATCTGGGCCAGGAAGTAGCGGAAGTTGTCCTCACCATCCACAGAGGGCTGCCGCGAGTCCCCGTGCACATAGTGTAGCCGCAGGCTGGCCAAGTGCTGAAAGCGGGCCACGTGTGGGATGATGACAGACAGGCCGCGTAGGCCCAAGTTATTGAAGCGCAGGTCCACGCGGCGTAGGCAGCCCGCATCCAGAAGCTGCAGCAGGGCCACAGTGTTGCGCATGGGCAGGTCCTCAGCCCGCAGGTCCCGGCAGCAGAGCCGCAGCGGGCTGCCTACGCTGCTGCGGAGTGCCTCCCGCAGGAACGCGTAAGAGGCCCGGTTCACCCGAAGGTCCACACGCACCTCCACAGGAACTGGGGCCAGCCCGGGCTCCCCAGCCCCACCCTGCTGCTGTGCAATGCACGTGCGGGCCACAGCTGCCGTGCAGTCCCACATGCTCATGGTACCAGGGTCCTGCTCCACACCGTCGTCCAGGAGGCCCGTCATGTCCAGCACCCGCAGTGCATGCTTCCTGGGAGCACGGATGGGCTGAGGCAGGAGGCAGGGGACAGAGCCCACACCCACTCCCAACCACCTTGGGACAGAAGCAACATGCCTCTTTCTGCACTGAACTCTTACACTAGCCTAGATCTCTCAGCGGGGACCCTCTTTGCGTCCCCTAGGCCAGAGGGCCCCTCGGGTAAGCTCATACCTGCAGAGGGGCTGCGTGCCGGCCTCCGTCTCTGGGGCGTGGAGCCGGGCTGTCAGCCCCAGGATCACCGCCTGCATGCTCTCTGTGCTGGGCCGCTCCTGCAGCAGGGCCCGGCTGCAGTGGGCACATTCCTGCAGCAGCTGCTGGAAGCTGAGCAGTGGGAAGGGCCACGTGTGCACCAGCTCACGCAGCACGACAGTCTTCTTGTCCATGAAGGCCACCTTGAACAGCAGGGGGAAGAGCTCGCGTGGCAGCAGGGGCAGGGCCTGGCAGGCAGCTGGCTGGCACTGGAGCACCTGCCGCGTGCTCAGGAACACAAGTGTGTGCATGGCGCTGCGCCAGGCAGGAGGCCACCTGCAGGGAAGGGACCTTCAGCGGGAAGGACAGACCCCAGACTACCACCAGGCCACAGATCCCACCACACACAGGTAGTGGGAAAGCCCAGCACAGTGGCTGCTGCAGAGCCAGCGCTCAGTGGTGGACCCCGGCTCTGAAGAGTGAGTGCTAATTCCCTAGGAATGGGCCAGGCGGAGTAGAAAAGTGACAAAACCAACCCTAATTCCAGTCCCTCAGAAGCATGAGGCCTCTTTAGGGGGGGGAAAAACAAACCATCAAGTGGCACACAATAGTGTGGCACCAGAGAGGACTGGCCTGCCTGGCTGTGCTTTTGATAGCTGTATTTCAGGCCTCCCAAGTCACAAAGCCACTTATTAGTGACTCTCTCTTAAAAGTAGAATAAGGCTCAGGCCCCGCCCTTCTCCAAGCACTAATGGGGGAGGGGGTCTGGAAGCTGTATCAGGGTTTCCTCTACCACCCTCCCTAGAGGCTCCTGCAGGCCACCCCTGGATCCCACTCACAGTTGACAGGCTGGAAACACAGATGAACATTAATAAATACCAAGACAGAGAGAAGGGACTGGGACCCAGGGAACAGGCTCCAGATGGCATAAGTAATCCAAGCCTTCAACGGGAGCCCTGAATCCTAACTATATCCAGAAGTGTTGTCAAGTACAGAGACCCTTGGAAATTTACAGAAAACGCAACTCTAACCCACTGAGGCCTTTGTCACCTGTCTAAACAACTCCCTTCTCCCTGAAGAACCATACTGAGAGAGCAAGTCTTAAACCCGTGGAGCCAGAAGGCCCCAGGACAGAGATCACTGATGGTTAGAAGCAGCTGGAAAAGGGGCATCCAAACTGAGAAGGGGCACAGTGGAGACGCCTAAGGCCACGGGATACCCAGGTGTCAGTTCTGCTGACTTCAGCAGCAGCAATAGTTAGGCCACTTACTGTGTGCTGGGCATCTCATTCCCCAAACTGCCTCCAAATAATCCCCCTGAAAAGGTTAGAAAATCAAGACCCAGGCCTTCCCCGCCTAGGGTCGCAGCCTGGGCGATAAGCCGAGGGGTTTATCGATAAGGGAAGGGAGGGCAGTCTGGCCCCAGACCTCACACAACATAAGCCTTTAGGGCACTGGTTCCTGAGAAGCCCCGGACGCCAAGCCTCGGCCACGCTCCGCCTGTGGACAAATCTCGCGAGGACGATTCATACCTCGCTGTGACAGGACAGACCAACCAAGCACCTGTCACGAGAGGAAACGAAAGCAGCCAGTGTGGTCACCGGGGGAGGAGTCTCGGTGCGGTGGCCGCCGCCGCCCCTCCCGCCGGCCCGCGGCTCCCTGAGTTTCCGAG